TGTTTATACCATATCGTAGTAAATCTTCCTTCCGCTACTTTTGCTCTGTGGCAGTTTTTGATAGTTGGGAGATACTATGTGGTTCCAACACCTTTTCTGTAAGCAAATATATTTTGGAGCAGTGGATTGGCTTTCCATTCAATTCGATTAAGAGTCATTCTTTCCGCAGTTTTGGCCAGACAGCTTGTTAATGAGATGGGTCTTGAATTTCCTGGGTCTTTAGGTTTTGGAATGGGAACTATAATTGCTTTGTTCCAAGAGAGTGATCGAGTTCTTGTCACCCATACTCTGTTGATGAGATTCAAGAAGGCTTCTTCACCCTTTTCTCCTAGATTGACCAGCATATTGTAAGTGATTTTGTCCTCACCTGGAGCTGTGTTTTTAGTTTTCTTTGTAGCTCTTCTGAGTTCTTTCTGATTGAAAGGTTGGTCTAGTTCGTCAGGTAAGGCTAAGGCATCATCTATTTTTTCTATCTTGCTGCTTGAAGTCTTTGTTGGTGAGTCAGAGTTGCTTGAGGAAGTTGAGTGGAACTGGCTCTTGAAGCAAATAGATTTGCTAGCCTTTCTGCTTCTTGCTCTGGATGAACATAATGTGGCGGAGCAGGAGGCGATTTTCCTTTGGCCGCGTCGTATTCTGATGTTGTTGTTTAAGATTCCCAACTTGGAACAAAAAGTTCCAAGTAGCACGGGCTATGGTGAGCACGTTGTGAACTTACCTGGCACAGGAGCAGGGCTGTAACTTAGGGCGTCGTATTCGTTGTTGTTTTGTTATAGATTCAGCACTCGGAACAAGTTCCAAGTAGCACGGGCTATGGTGAGCCCGTAGTGGACTTACTTGGAACAGGAGGGGTGGATATATTCCGTCGTATTCTGTTGTTGTTTTAGATTCAGCTACTCAGAACAATAAGTTCCAGTAGCACGGGCTATGGTGAGCCCGTAAGTGGAGGCTCTTTGGAGCCATTAGCTGTATCAGTGGCTGATACTAGAGATCTGGCGATAGATGGGGGTCTTCATGACGGTTTTCAGTCTGGAGGGCTGGCTATACCAGTTATGGAGCTGGTGGGGTTAGTGTAGATCTCTAGGTTTTCCGTTTTTTCTTTGCCTGCGACTTTGTCTGAACAGTGCTGTCGTTAGAGTTTGGTGACGTGGCCTCCATTAGGAAGTCTTGAACCGTATGTATCGTATTTGTGATGCGGCGGTGGAGCTCCTACTATGATTTCCTCGTCTGAGGAGTCCGTAACCTCCGTAATGGGCATTTTTGTCTTTCGCCTCGCAGCCTTAGGTAGGCTTAGGTGTCGTTCATTGGTGGTTGTAGCTATTTCAGGAGCGCTGGTGGTGCTGTTATCGTTTGTAGACAGCACGTCGGCTAGCTCGGCTGCTGAGATAGTGATGGTAGGAGTGTTGGGAGCTAAAGAAGGAATTACCTCTGTTTGTGTTGCCCAGGTCATGGCGGTTCTGGAGTCGGTGTTGAAGTTGACCGCATGGCCGTCCTGGTGGTAGTCTCCGGAGTGGTAGAGGAGACAGTGAGATTTACGCCAGTGGCTATGAGGGGGCCCAAGCCATTGTCTATGTATAATGCGTTTAGTTCACTGACAAAACGCTGGTTGTCTAGTCCTGCAAGCCTTTTCGCTAGTCTAATAAGACCAGGGATAATGCCTGCACGTGATGCAGGGGGCTGTGAAGGAGCCTGTGGGACCTTGGGTCCCCAATGAGAAGGCTGTGTCGCCTGCTGGTAAGACTGGAAAGTCTTCTGGTCGATTAGTGAGAGCTAAGGTGGTGGGTAGAACGCTTGGGGCTCAGGTCGAGGAGGTAGAATGGTTGTTTCTCTTGGCTTCAACCTGGGCCTTGATACTTTCATGCCTGCGGGGGCAGCGGTAGGAAATTGCGGGGTGATTGCCATCACAGAGAAAACAGCGATGGACTGTTGCCTTGCATATGGAGTAGTGATGGTCCAGTGCGCACAGGCTGCACCTCTGGACAGGGTGCTGACACTTGTTGGTCAAGTGGGAGAGCTCGTAGCACTGCTGAATCTCATGGTATCGTTCCTTTTTTATTTGGTGGGTGGTATTTTTAGGCCGAAGCAGTAGAATCCTTGTGTGGCAGCCTGGGTGGCCGCAGCTATGGTGGTGAACGTAATCTTCATTGATGTTTTGTCGGCGTTGCAGAACTCTAGGTTGAATACCGACAGGTTTGGATTTTCGTCCTCGATATTGTTTATGATATTGTTACGGACCCGAGTCCAGCGTCGTAGCACGGAGCTGTGACGACCACGCCATCTGTGGGTCAGCTCCCGAAACCCCCTCCAATTGGACTGTGCCATCTAGTGAGGACGAGATATACCGGCCACAGGGGCTGGTTTCCGGTCTTAATCAGCTCGTGACATAGCCGCTGCTGACCTCTGGTGAGGTGACGCTTAGACAGCAACGCCATCTATGGAGTGGATAGGTGGGCGTTTGTGTCTAAGCCTGCAAGTGAGGTGCCCTAGAGTGTCCCTAGTACTAATGACGTGTCTGATTACAGAGTCGACCTGGGACTGCTGAATTAGACGTTGGATCAGTCTACCCGAGGCAGCCAGAGTCTCTCCAAGTGTTTGCTGTAGAAGCTGTGAAGTCACCCCCCACCCCGGATGAACACTGTTGTGTTAGCCTGCCTGTGACGTGGCAGAACCAGGGATTGTCGTACCCGGGGCTGACTGGTGGAGAAGACTAGCCACTGGGGTGTAGCAAGAGGAGAGTGATCAGCGGAATCACACGAGGCTCTTGCCTAGGGCTCGCAACCCTAGTATCGGTCGTGGAGTGGCCTACGCAGCGTAGCTGATTGGAACCTGCCAGCTACAGGCTGGATTTGTGGTTGAAGGCCTCCACGACGGTGCACCCAGTGGGACTGTGATTTGGCTGGCCTGTGGCCGGGGTAGACTCGTCTAGAGAATCTAAGGATTCATTGTGAGGCCACGAGAAGAGGACCAGGGCTACTCATAGTGAGCACCGTGGAGCATCCCGTGTCTTCGGAGGAAGACGAGTTATTGTAAATAATAAGTGTAGTAATAGCAACCCCGCGTGTGACTGTGATATATTTATTTATGGTGGTGGTAGCAATATATAATTAATTTTGTGTATTTGTATCCCTTCCCCTTTAATTTACTTGCGTTACAGAACACACCCCTTGAAAGCCACTACTAACTTGGGGCCGGATTCCCAAACTCTACTAACATCAGAGAAAGAACCCAGTTGCGACCCAATAGGGCCGTAACAGATATGATGTTGAGGTCGCTCAGCGATCCACCGGCTGGTCCTGCTGGTAAACACAGTTCTTCCGGCCAGGAACTGACGTGGGAAGTGAGGATGTAGGTGGTGCTCTTTGTGAAGAATGGCATCGTTAGTGAGGAGTTTTTCTAGCTCCTCTTCACATGAAAAGAAGAGCACGATATCTTCACCTTCCCGACTAATGTCAGCAGGTTCGAGGCCAGTAACGTCCTTCAGGACCTTTAAAGTATTACTTCTCCCGATAGCATGACCGTCAAGTGGAGTAGCTCTGACCTTAAGGCGTTTGGGTTGCACTGTGACCACACTGCGCCTTGTGATGTGGCAACTCCTTGCCTGTGGTAACTGTGCGTCGTATTCAGGACGTATTGGATTTATACGGAGACCAGTCTCTGTGGTGTAGTGGTAAGACACTCGCCTGGCGTTCCGCGAGAGCTTTGTCATGGGTTCGTATCCTGGCTGGGGAGGATTTACTGGGCGCAAATCCTTAACTGTAGCCTCTGTTTAACTCAACAGTAAAATGGGTACTTGGTTTGTAACAACGATTCTTCGCGGCGGGGATCGTATTCCAGGGACCTGCCCGAAACGCTACGCGTACTAGTGGCTGTACAAGAATGTAACAACTCTTGTATATGTCTCTCAAAAAAAAAAAAAAAAAAAAAAAAAAACACTGGGAGGTCAGGTGCATACAAATTGGTGAGGTGTAAAAGGCAAGATGATGTTGTTGTTGTTGTTATAGATTAAGCTACTCGGAACAAGTTCCAAGTAGCACGGGCTAATGTGAGCCCGTAATTTACCTGACACAGGAGCGGGGCAAGTAGCACGGGCTATGGTGAGCCCGTAACTTACCTGGCACAGGAGCGGGCCAAGTAGCACGGGCTATGGTGAGCCCGTAACTTACCTGGCACAGGAGCGGGGCAAGTAGCACGGGCTATGGTGAGCCCGTAACTTACCTGGCACAGGAGCGGGCCAAGTAGCACGGGCTATGGTGAGCCCGTAGTGGACTTACCTGGCACAGGAGCGGTGCTGAAAAAAAAGGCAAGAGGCATAAGTCAATAAAATATACATATATTGAGGTGAGGTGTAAAGAGTGAAGGTTAGAAGCACATACAAAGATTAGTCAGGTGAAGTGGGCGTGGCGTTTTGGGCTGTGTCGTCAACGTTGACAAATTCACGTTTCCGGTCTAACCTCACTCTCATGGTGAGTAGAGTGAATAGTTCCGTTATTTGAGTATTTTTGGTGGGTTGTTCGACTTTTATGTGAATTGCTTTAGGAGTTTGTAATCTTCTTACATCTTGGGGTTTTTCTATTATAAAAGTATTATTATTAAGCATTTCTTTTGTTAGGGTGATGTCATTGATTTGTCTAATGTGATTTTTCGGGGCACCAGATTGAAGTTGAAAGGTCAAACGCCACGTGAGGTTGGTCGACGTCATACCTATGTACTTAGATTGAAGTCTACATCCTTCGTGGGGGCAGGTGTACATATATACCACGTACGACTCATGTAAAGGTTTCTCAGTAGGCTTTAGGAATGCTTTAATGAGAAGGCTTTAATGAGAAGGTCAATGGTCTTCTTTGTTTTATCGTATATGATTAGGTCTGTGTTTTGGTTAAGGGATTGCGCTATTTTACTCTATGAATTATTTCTTTCATTACTCTTTCTTGTTTCTTATATTCACTGTGCATGTGAATATTACAAATCCACTACATAGAAATTGGGTAGAGACATTGACTCACCTGTATAGTAGGGTAGTCACACACTCGCATCCCCACATCAGCATGAGCCTTCCTGGTGACATGTTTCTTGGCTACATCCAAACATGCTAAGGAGATACCATTCCAAACAGCGGCTGAGCAGAACAGGAAATATGGATCAGCAACCTCATCAATGCTCTGTGAAAAAAGTCAGCTTGCTTTGGGGACACGACAAATATAATTTTAAGAAATATTAAAGGATATTATTTCAAGAATTGGTTTCAGATATTTCCTAATGAATTTGTGTGTGTGTGAAAGACGTCAATTGACAGTTGAAGGTCCCAAATTCTAATCTTGGTTGAAGTAGGAACAAATTGGCAGCATTTCCTTATCACATGCCTCAATTCACCAAACAATAAATAGGTGCCTGGGTGCTAGACAGCTTTTGTGGGCTGCATCCTGGGGAGGCCAGTAGTTAGAAGCTTATCCTTAGAGCAAATGTATTACCATGAGAAACCTCACACAGGATGCACACACCACACACCAAAGATGCACACACCACACACAGGATGCACACACCACACACAGGATGTACACACCACACACAAAGATGCACACACCACACACAGGATGCACACACCACACACAGGATGCACACACCACACACTGGATGCACACACCACACACAGGATGCACACACCACACACCAAAGATGCACACACCACACACAGGATGGACACACCACACACTGGTTGCACACACCACACAGGATGCACAGACCACACACCAGAGATGAACACACCACACACCAAAAATGCACATACCACACACAGGATGCACACACCACACACAGGATGCACACATCTCACACAGGATGCACACACCACGCACAGGATGCACACACATCACACACAAAGATGCACACACCATGCACAGGATGCACACACCACACACAGGATGCACACATCACACACAGGATGCACACACCCCACACAGGATGCACACACCACACACATGATGTACACACACCACACACAAAGATGCACACGTCACACACAGGATGCACACACCACACAAAAAATGCACACACCATTCACAGAATGCACACACCACACACAGGATGCACACACCACACACAGGATGCACACACCACACACCAAAGATGCACACACCACACACAGGATGCACACACCACACACAGGATGCACACACAACAAACAGGATGCACACACAACACACCAAAGATGCACACACCACACACATGATGCACATACTACACACAGGATGCACACACCACACATAGGATGCACACACCACATACAGGATGCACACACCACACACAGGATGCACACACACCACACACAAAGATGCACACACCACACACAGGATGCACACACACCACAGAACAAAAATGCACACACCTCACACAGGATGCACACATCACACACAGGATGCACACATCACACACAGGATGCACATACAAAGATGCACACACCACATACAGGAATGCACATAAAAAGATGCACATACCACACACAGGATGCACATACAAAGATGCACACACCACACACAAAGATGCACACACAACACACACAAAATGCACACACCACACACAAAATGCACACACCACACACAGGATACACATACCACACACAGGATGCACACATCACACACAGGATGCACACACCACACACATGATGCCTACACCACACACAGGATGCACACACCACACACATGATGCCTACACCACACACAGGATGCACACACCACACACAGGATGCACACACCACACACAGGATGCACAGACCACACACAGGATGCGCACACACGACACACACAGGATGCACAGACCACACAGAGGATTCATACACCACACACCAAAGATGCACACACCACACACAGGATGCACACACCACACACTAGATCCACACACCACACAGAGGATGCACAGACCACACACCAAAGATGCACACACAGGCTGCACACAGGATGCACACACCACACACAAAGATGCATACTCCACACACACGATGCACCCACCACACACAGGATGCATACACCACACTGGATGCACACACCACACACAGGATGCACACACCAAACACAGGATGCACACACCACACAGGATTCACACGCCACACACCAAAGATGCACACACCACACACAGGATGCACACACCACACACAGGATGCACACATCACACACAGGATGCACACACACCACACACAAAGATGCACACATCACACACAGGATGCACACACCACACACTGGATGCACACATCACACACAGGATTCACACGCCACACACCAAAGATGCACACACCACACACTGGATGCACACATCACACACAGGATGCCTACACACCACACACAAAGATGCACACATCACACACAGGATGCCTACACACCACACACAAAGATGCACACATCACACACAGGAAGCACACACCACACAAAAAAATGCACACACCACACACAAAATGCACACACCACACTCAGGATGCACACATCACACACAGGATGCACACACCACACACAGGATGCACACACTACACACAAGATACACATACCACAAACAGGATGCACACACCACACACAGGATGCACACACTACACACAAGATACACATACCACAAACAGGATGCACACACCACACATTCAGCGGTATGCCACCAGGCTCGTCCCGGAACTAAAAGGATTGAGCTACCACCTACAAAATTCTGAGGGGAATTGACAGGGTGGACAAAGACAAACTCTTCAGCACGGGTGGGACACGAACAAGGGAACACAGGTGGAAACTTAGTACCCAGATGAGCCACAGAGACGTTAGAAAGATTTTTTTTCAGTGTCAGAGTAGTTAATAAATGAAATGCACTAGAAAGTGATGTGGTGGAGGCTGACTCCATACACAGTTTCAAATGTCGATATGATAGAGCCCAGTAGGCACAGGAATCTGTACACCAGTTGATTGACAGTTGAGAGGCAGGACCAAAGAGCCAAAACTCAACCCCCGCAAGCACATTTAGGTGAGTACAATTAGGTGAGTGCACACAGGATGCACACACACAGATGCACACACCACATACAGGATGCATAAAACACACACGAAGATGCACACACCACACGCAGGATGCACACACCACACACAGGCTCAGGAATATGTACACCAGTTGATTGACAGTTGAGAGGCGGGACCAAAGAGCCAAAACTCAACCCCCGCAAGCACATTTAGGTGAGTACAATTAGGTGAGTACACACAGGATGCACACACACAGATGCACACACCACATACAGGATGCATAAAACACACACGAAGATGCACACACCACACAGGATGTACACACCACACACCAAAGATGCACACACCGCACACAGGACGCAAACACCACACACAGGATGCACACACCACACACAGGGTGCACACACAACACACCAAAGATGCACACACCACACATATGATGCACACACCAAACACCAAAAATGCAACATTTCACACACAGGATGCACACACCACACATAGGATACACACCACACACAGGATGCACACTCCACACACAGGATGCACACACCACACACAAAGATGCACACACCACACACAGAATGCACACAACACACGCAGGATGCACACACCACACACAGGATGCACACACCACAAACAGGATGCACACAAAACACACAGGATGCACAGACCACACACAGGATTCATACACCACACACCAAAGATGCACACACCACACACAGGATGCACACACCACACACTGGATCCACACACCACACACAGGATGCACACACCACACACCAAAGATGCACACACCACACACAGGATGCACATACAAAGATGCACACACCACACACAAAGATGCACACACCACACACAAAATGCACACACCACACACAGGGCACACACACCACACACAGGATGCACACACCACACACAGGATGCACACACCACACACATAATGCACACACCACACACAGGATGCACACACCACACACAGGATGCACACACCACAAACAGGATGCACAGACCACACACAGGATTCAGACACCACACACCAAAGATGCACACACCACACACAGGATGCACACACCACACACTGGATACACACACCACACACAGGATGCACACACCACACACCAAAGATGCACACACCACACACAAAATGCACACACCAAACACAGGATGCATACACCACACACAGGATGCACACACCACACACAGGATGCATACACCACACACAGGATGCACACACCACACACAGGATGCACAGACCTCACACAGGATTCATATACCATACAACAAAGATGCACACACCACACACAGGATGCACACACCAGAATGGATGCACACATCACACACAGGATGCACACACCACACACAGGATGCACACACCACACACAGGATGCACACACCACACACAGGATGAACACACCACACACCAAAGATGCACACACCACACACAGGAAGCATACACCATACACTGGATGCACATACCACACACAGGATGCACACACTACACACCAAAGATGCACACACCACACACATGATGATCACAGTACACACCAAAAATGCACATACCACACATAAGATGCACACACCACACACAGGATGCACACACCACCCACAAGATGCACATACGACACACAGGATACACACACCACACACAGAATGCACACACCACATACAGGATGTGCACACCACACACAGGACGCACACGTCGCACACAGAGATGCACACACATGATACAGAGAAGCACACACCATACAAATGATATGCATACTCCTAGCTCTTTGACATAGCCCAGGAAGCGTTGACTGGGACCCAATCCGTAACTGTTTACTCCTGTTCAGTAAACAGTAATAGAGGACCTGGGAGTAAGCCGATTGGCGGGTCGTGGTCTAGCTAAAAACTTGTGAAGTAAGGCCTACCATGAACTGTATGGAATGGAAAGCTTTCAGCCGGCTAACAGGAATTAATTCATAATATAAAATAAATGATTCGTACAAAACGACCTTCACCAGGTGGGCCGATCATCCTATCCAAGTTAAACTTGCCCTCGATCACCAGCGGACCAGACATGTTGCCGTGCATCCCCAGTGCCTTCCAGTCGTCCGTGTTGGCTCGCACTTCATCCTGGGGATAGAAGACTAGTCAGTCTAGATGTCTTCTTACCCTTGACCACATTCTCAACATCCATATGTATTATTTCTGTTATTTATAGTTGACCTGACGTTATATTGGCTGACTCTGTATCCCCGTCACTGACCTTAAACACAAGAAAGGAGGAGAGGTCGGAGTAGTCACCATCGTAGTTGGGACTGACTGTCTGGATGAAGTACCAGTCAGCATGACCAGCACTCGTGGCCCAAGATCCTAATTTAAGAAGCTGGACTGTTTCCTCATCAAGGCACTTTGCCTTCGAAGATAAAGGATACCAGAAGTGTCCACCTGTGAGAACAGAAAATTAAAATGAGCTTAGTGTAGGATAACAGATGTGTCCATGTGAAAGAACAGAAAATAATTACATGAGATTTTTAGCTATATTTAATGACACATTTTAAAGGAAAACAAAATCAGTCAGTATAATTGCTAATTCGTATATGAAATTAAAAACTAGAGAAAATTTGTGAACTGATAACTGACTTTAACTACATTCCTAAGTAATTTTTAATGCCATTATGACAAATTGTACCGATTCTAACTTTCATGATCTAATAAAATTACATGTGTTATCAAGGTATGATTATGCCTCGCGTTTATTGCTTTACATGTGAAATATACTCTTCTGGTTCCGAGACTGAAGGATACGTCTACTGGTGTCTGCACAATGTTTGAGTTCAAAGAATTGTATGTCATGACCCTAATTTGCTTGTTTTTTAGTAGCTATTTCAAATTTAAGTCTGAATTCTCTATTTATATTCAACAGTGTTTTTCACCTGACAAATACTATTGCTAGATATCATGGGGAAAGGCGGCTGTGGCTTTGAAATTGTGTTACTTTAGTCCATTTATTATGCACCCCCCGTCCAACCTGTGGGTGGTAGTGACAGAAGTTTCAGAGGCACATTATGGATTTAGGAATTCAGCTTCAAAATTCATTTAGCTCAGCATTTTACACCCGTGATGAATTAGTTACAAAGTTAAATGTATATATTTGCAATACATGTTTGGTACATAGTGTAAAATTGCTACTCAATTACATCTGTTTATATTAGTTAAATTGTTTAGTGTACATATTTTCATGACTTTCTCCTTCCAAAGACAAGGGTCATCAGAGGATCAGCGTATGACTCACTACATGCAGACCCTCATCAAAACACTCAGTTAATTCACTGACACCTGTCTGGCAGCTTCAACCTAACAATCTCTTCCTATAAAACAGAATGTTTCTCTGTTAGATTATCATTTCCATGATGAAGGTTGCAGCTAGCCTCCTTAAGTAGGAGTGGTTCCCATTGCAACAACCAACAACTCACGAACTCTGAAATGTGGGTTTGAGTGAATATAGAGTGATTAACAAATACTTTCGAGCTGTTCATCACACCACAATGCAGTCATAACATTCTTACAACTTTTACTCAAAGTTATAGTAGACAAAATAACGTTGTGGTTACTTTTTGTGTTTGCTTGGTGCAGATATTGAATGTTCTGAGAGAACCGCAGGAAGGGAGGGAGGGAGGGAGGGTGAAAAGGATTAAGGTACAGAGAATGGAAGGGAATGAGAATGGCAGGGAGAGAAAAATAGGAGACAGGGATGGTAGGATAATGGGAAAATTGTAGAGGAAATGAGAAGAAAGGAGAGAGAGAATTGGAGGCATGGAGAATAGGAGGGAGAAAGGGAGTGATGCAGGGAGGGAGGGAAATGGGAGGAAGAATTAGTCATTGGGATGGTGTGAGGGAGAGACAGAAAGACTGATAGACAACGGCAGACAGAGACCTGAGCAACGCCTAATATCCTATTTATCTAAATAAGAGAAAGTCTGTCTGTTTGTCCATGGTTGGAAGTCAAACTATACTGAGCAGCCTTGCATAATCTTGCATGGTGATTGATGGTTTTGGAGTCTTATAGGATTGTCAGGGCCAGTTCCTTTGACCCCCATTGAAGGGAAATCGGCCTCCACACCTCTTTTACGAAGTCACGAAATATGAAATGTACAACCAAAAGTCCATAGAATTTATCATTCATGTCAATATTAGTGCATTAAGATACTGACATTCAGTCGAATGCTCAGATGACAGATTTATCAAAAGTTTCTGGGCATAAACTCTTGATTACAGTGATGTAGATAGTGTGCAGTGAAAATGTTTTCAGAGATAGGGGGATATGGGAACGAAATATGTGTGGGTGGAGATAGGGGAAGGTGTATGCAAGTAGAGACAGGGAGGGTGTGTGGGTGGGTGGGCCAGAAAAAAGAGGAGAGCATGTGCAGGTGAGACAGAGAGGGTGAGTGTTGGAGTAGATAAGGAGGGTCTGTGTGGGGAGAGTTGGTGTGGGTGTCAGTGAGGATGGGGGGAGTCAGAAGACCTATACGAGTGAATGGGATAGGCCTTACGGCCTTGGTACAAGGTCATCCCAAGCACAGCCGGGTATCCCATCTAGAACCTAATACTCGTAATCTGTATGAATGGTCAACAAGAGAAATGTCCTGAAAGAAAATTTTGGAACTCATCTTTCAGGCCAGATTCTATAAATAATTTGAACATCAGAATAGGTATATTATAACGCAAAAAGTATGTTACGACCCTGGCGCAATTCTTGCATGTAGGAGGCCAGGGTCAGATTCACGAAACAGTTATGCTAGTACTTGCGAACGAGTACATTTTTTCTCAATATTTGACGGCTTTGGTTACATTTATTAAACAGTTTATAAGCATGAAAACTTCCCAATCAACTGTTGATATTGTTATAAAAAGCCTCCTGGTGCTTCGGAGCTCATTAACTGCTTAATAATTGTAAACAAAGCCGCCAAAAATTGAGAAAAGATGTACAGGTTCATAAGTGCTTTGTGAATCCGTCTCCAGGATCGTATTAGAGATCTGAATTCCTGATTGTTTACAGACAGGATGAACTTGATCGCACTATCCTCAAAATCTCTTTCAACACACAAAAATAATTTACTCAATCACGCAAAATCTCAGAACAGTATCTATTACAATAGAGTTTACCCAAACTCAGCCAACAAAAGAAAATTTAGTCTGGCAAAGCAAGTGCTCACATTCATCATATGACACACATGACACTTGGGGGCTACGGCAGAAATTTCAGCCCATCTTCTCACCTAATTCCTCACAGATTTTTACAGACTCGACTAATCAGTTAAAAGAGCAACATGTTCATAAAAATTATAGCAGTGTAATATTGACGTTTTAGTGCCCTAATAGTCCTGATCAAACATATACAATAGTAAATCATCCAAGGCAGCAGGGTTACTGGCCGTTAACAGACCCCGCTGGAGCCGTTTCCTGAATTGGCACTCAGTTGGCGGCAGTTCCGGGCTCTAGCCGCAAGCCTGAGATGGCAGTAGTATTTATTTATTTTTATTTAATTATTTATTTATTTATATACAAGAAGGTACATTGGGTTAGAGAGAATACATAGCACAGTATTTACAAGCTTGTAAAGCCACTAGTACGCGCAGCGTTTCGGGCAGGTCCTTAATCTAACAGATAATTTTAAGTAGGGAAATTCTAGCAGAATTAATAAAATGATAACAGATACATCGCAAGAAAAAAAATGAGATGAGAGAGAATAGTAAATATATTAAAGCACATTGTTATATTAAAGCTCTGGTTGATTACATTGACAACTTGATTGGTAATTTAAACAAGATTAACAGACACCGTACAGCAGATTGACAGCACATATAAGAAGACAGCAATGATCACAATGGTAAAGATGTTCGGATTGGGTACATAAAGATAGGGAGATTGGGTAGCAATAGATACAGTGCAATTTTAAAGCAACAAGGTAAAAAAACTATGCAGATGAGATTAGGTACTTTTAGTTTTGTTTTTGAATGACGCAAAAGTTTGACAGCTTTTCAATTCATTAGGGAGTGAGTTCCATAGACTGGGACCCTTTATTTGCATAGAGTATTTACACAGATTAAGTTTGACTCTGGGGATATCAAAGAGATATTTATTTCTGGTGTGGTGATAATGGGTCCTATTACATCTGTCCTGGGAGAGTTTCAGAGCAGGATTTGCGTTTAAGAACAGGGTTTTGTAAATGTAATTGACACAAAAAAATTTGTGGAGTGAGATTATGTTTAGCATGTTAAGGGAGTTAAACAAGGGGGCTGAGTGTTGTCTGAAAGCAGAATTTGTTATTATTCTGATAGCAGATTTTTGCTGGGTGATGATGGACTTGAGGTGGTTTGCAGTGGTAGAACCCCATGCACAGATACCATAGTAGTCTGGGTTGGAGTCAGGCATCAAGGACGAGCTGTGGGACTTGCACTGGGAATGTTGGCGGCTCTGAATAGCACTGAGGTGTTGGCTGTTCATTTGGGTCCTCACTGTAGGGTGGTCAGAGGCAAGGATATTTCCCGACCAGAGTCGCCTGGTGCACTATGAATTCGTCTGCTATTCTCGCCAGGCTCTCTGGTGTCACGTTGTTGATCTGGGCAAGGAGTAGCATGCGAATGTGTATGGGCAAGCATAGGAACAGAACCCGGAGCAGGTCATTGTCACATGCTCCACTTGCCGTCTGTAGCAAGAGCTGAATTTGCTGGAGCATTTGGAATGGTGTCTGATCCCCCAGGCTGCGATAGTTACTATTGGTGAGAAATAGGTCACACTGGCGGCTTCTACGTACTTTGGCTGCAGCGAGGAGAGCAATCTTCATGGAGGCGAATCTGTGTGGTTGGCGGTGATATAACCACAGCTGAATGGTGGCCGGAGGCAATGCCGACACAGAGAGTTCATATTGCTTTGTGTCGTTGGTTACCTTATAAGCGTCAAAGAAGGCCCCAACCTGTACAAACCATGACTCTGGGTCAGACAAAAGATATGCTGGTAGCCTGAACGTGGAGGCCATAATTTGTTTACACCCTGTCTGAGGAAACACTGGTGTGGAATCGACTCCAGGGTTACCACTTACGCTAATATCCACCAGACTTGGGTTAAGTAAACGCAAGTCACTGATTAACATACATATATTCTATAACTGTACTAACCCAAGGAGGGAGTGAGAGAGAGCCTGTTCTCGTGTTTGCTATTGTTGGTTGTTGTTGTTGTTGTTGTAGTTAATTTAGGGGCTACGGCGATCGTGGGATCGGATACGCCCCAGCATACCCGTGAAGGGTTAATTGCGAAGCCCAGAAAGGTGAATCGCCAAGCCGTATTGCAAAACTTGTGAGGCCAGTCATTGGAGACTAATATGCCTCGCAGCAAAGAAACGCAGACAGACAGATGATGGGGGGGGGGACCCCAGGAGTCCCTCAGGG